CTTCTGCCTCCTGGTGCTGGGATTATAGATGCGTACCATCATGCCAGGCTTGAGTTCTTTTTTAATGGAGGCATTTGCATTATCATATCCTTGTTAGCACTGAGTTTACTGCCTCCCATAAGTTTTGGTGTCATGTTTTTATTTTCATTTGTCTCAAGTTATTTTTTAATTTCCCTGAGATTTTTTCTTTGATTCTTTGAGTTTATTTGTTCAGTTTACATGCATTTATAAATTTCCAGGTTTTTTTCCTGTTAATTATTTCTAATTTCATTCTGTTGTCAGAAAAAAACTTTTTTTTTTTTTTTTTGGCAGCACTGGGGTTTGAACTCGGGGCTTCATGCTTGCTAGGCAGGCGCTCTACCGCTTGAGTCACTCTGCCAGCTCAGGAAAAGACTCTCAAGATTTCAGTGGTGTAGGTGTTATGTAAAAGAGTTTGGAGCTCCTAAAAAAGCTAAGCATAGGATTTACCATGATCCGGCTCTTCCACTTCTAGTGATACATCAAAACTGAAAGTAGGCACCTATGAATAAAGTAAAAATTAAAAAAAAAAACTGAAAGTAGTGTTTTGAGCAGATAGTTTTATGTCAGTTTTCATTATTCACAATAGCCAGTTGAATGGACAAAAATATATATACATGCAATGAAGTATTATTCAACCATAAGTGGAAATGAATTTTTATGTATGTTAGAACATCGAACCTTAAAAACATTATGTTAAATAAGCCAGATATAAAAGCTGAATACAGTATTAGTCCACTTGAGTGAGAATTGGCAAATTTATAAAAAGTATATTTACTCAGCTAATCAGGAGGCAGAGATGGGGAAGATCACCGTTTGAGGTTAATCTGAGTAAAAAAAGTTATCAAGGCCCCATTCAACAAATAAACTGGGTAGTGTGGTATATGCTTATAATCCCAGTTCTGCAAGAGGCATAGATAGGAGGATCATGGTTCAAGGGTGGATCATGGTTCAAGAGTATGAGAACCTATCTAAAAAATAACTAAAGCGAAGGAGGGGGGAGGGCATGTCTCACATGGTAGAGTACCTGCTTAGCAAGCATGAGGCCCTGAGTTGAAACTCCAGTACCATCACCACTACCAACAGTAATAATACACACTTTTGAGAAAAAGAAGTTATTATTTTGATGTAGTCAAATTTTTTGGCAATACCAGATAAGTGTATAAGAACAGAGCAAAGTAACCTGGAGCTAGCTGCTTGATGTCATGTGGGTTTTGTTTTATGTTGAATCACAAGGGCATTTGAATTTTGTCTGTTGAACCATGCTAAAAAAATCATATTCTTAGCTTTGTGCATCTTTGAAGTTATCTCATTTGGCCAAAAAGGAGTGAGTATGGGATAGAGTGAGTTGATGGCATTGCTTTCCTCCATCTCTGGCCATCTTGGAACCTGCCTGTGCACAGTGCCCGGTGTCAGTTGTCCATATATCCATGTGAGTGGACATGTTAGAGCAACAACAAATATCCCTCTGCCAGGTAGTGCAAGGGGTGTAGCTCCGTGTTTGTGGGGTATTGTTTCACTTCCATTTTAGGTAGCTAGATTCTTACATGTCAGTCTTTTGCCTTGGAGCAGTCAAGGCTTTGTTTTAGACTATGGAGTAATTTTCCAAAGAAACTACCTTGAGTGTCAGTGTTGCTTTGGATTTCTAATGTTTAATTTTATATTGAAGTAAGATTGATACAACATAAATTTTAAAGTGTACAATTCGGTAGCATTTTGTAACCTTACAGTGTTACGAACCCACCACCTCAGAACACCCCATATCCATTAATTAATCATTCCCCATGCTTCCCACCCCCAGCCCCTGGCAGTCTCCTTTCGGCTCACTGTGTCTATGGATTTGCCTGTCTTGAATGTTTCCCATTAATGGGCTTTGCACTTACAAGGCAGGCACTCTATGGCTTGAGCCATGCCTCCAGCCCTAGCCTTTTTACTCTGGTTATTTTGGATCTTGCTTTTTGCTCAGGCTGGCCTAGGTGGCAGTCTTCCCCATCTCAGCCTTCCAAATAGGTAGGATTATAGGCGTGAGCCACTGACACCTGGCTGTGTCAGCATATTTTCTAAGTTCATCTGAGTTGTGGTATGCATTAATGTTTCATTTCTTTGCATGGCTAACTAGCACTCTGTTTTGTGCATTCTCTTTACAATTCATCCATGATGGGCAGGTGAACTGTTTCCGCCTTTTGGCTCTGAATGATGCCACTATGAGCATTTGTGTATCATTCTAGACAGGTACATGTTTTCATTTCTATGCAGTGTCTACCTAGCAGTGCAGTAGCTGGATCATGTGGAGATTTATGTCAACTTTTTTTTTTTTTTGGCAGGACTGGGTTTGAACTCAGGGCCTCCATGTTTGCTAGACAGGCACTCTATCACTTGAACCACTCTGTCAGCCCTTTTTTTGTGTTGAGTATTTTCGAGATAAGAGTTTGTATACTATTTGCCCGGGCTGGCCTCAAACCATGATCCTTCTGATCTCTGCCTCCAAAGTAGCTTAAGATTACAGGCGTGAGCCACCAATGCCTTGGCAACTTTTGCTGAACCCCTTAAACTTTCTATGGTGGCTGCACTATTTTACATTTCTACCAGCACTGTATAAGGGTTCTAGTTTCTCCACATCTTCACACACAATACTTTTTTTCCTCTTTCAGAAGCAACCATTTTAATAAGAAATGGGATCTCATTGGGACTTTGATTTGCTTCTTTAATTTTTTCTCTTTTTGCCATGCTGGGGATGAACCCAGGGCCTTGTGTATGCTATGCAAGCTCTGCCACTTGAGCCACACCTCTAGCTCTTTTTGCTTTTAGTTTATTTTTCACATAAGGTCTGATGCTTTATGATCCTCATACCTCTACCTCCCTTGTAACTGAAATGTCAGGAGCTCGCCACTATGCCTGGCTTATTGGTTGAGATGGGGGTCTCACTAACTTTTTGCCTGGGCTGACTGGCCTCGAACTACAGTCCACCTTCACCTCCCTCATAATTGGGAGTATAGGTGTGAGCCACCACACCCAACCTGATTTGCATTTCTTAATGACCAGTGATGGAGAACATTTTTTTCCTTGTGCTATTTAGGCCATATGTTTAGAGAAATGCCAATTTGAGTCCATTTGCCCATTTTTAAATAGGGTTGTTTGTCTTTTTGTCCCTTACATTGTATGTGTATATGTGTATGTGATTTGCAGATATTTTCTCTGTTTTCTAGGTTGCCAGCTGTATGCTTGGCATGTTGTTCATTGATTCCTCTGCTTTCTGTTAAATTCCACCATCCTATTGCAAACTTGTCTCTGACAAAACTTGTTTTTGATATCTACATGCCAGGATTCATGTCGCTAAAGCACATAAAGTGCCAAATGACAGCTGGTTGAGCTCTTGCTGACAGCTCTGATGAGGATGTTAAGGGAGTTTATTGGGATTTTTGTCATATTTTTTTGTGAGAACAATAGGTAGTCATGGGATTCTTGAATTGCTGTTTTTGAGTTGTAATAAATCTGCTTTAGAGAATTTAAAGATGTACCAGAATATTAATCCAAATCACAGTAACTTAAGACATGAAATACAGTCAGCCCTCCTTATCTGCAGGTTTATATCTGTGACTTCAACCAATAGCAGATCAAAAGAAGCTTGGAGAAAAAAGTTGTGACTGTTACCAATCATGTACAGACTCTTTCCTCTTGTCATTCCCTATACAATAAAGTACAACAGATACTTAGACAGCATTGTATCAGTGTTATAAGTCACCTAGAGATGTTATGCATAGGCTATATGCAAACACTATCCCTTATTTTATTCTTTTTGCTGGTTTGATTTTTTCACATCATCATTTTATATAGGGACTTGAGCATCTATGTAATTTGGTATTGCAGAGGTTCTTGGAACCAGTCACCTGTGGATACTCCATAATGAGTGTATAATAAAACTGTGAGGTTTTGTGGCAGGGGTGGGGGTGGTTGGTTTTGTTTTGTTTTCCTTTTTTTAAACACTACCATTATCGAATGCACTGAAGTTACATGTATTAAGTTAATTATCACCCAGACCTGAAACATTAGTACTTTTATTATCACCACTTACCTACTAAAGAGAAAATTGAGCCTCAGAAGGAGAGTAACTTATCAAAAGTTCATAACTAGCACATAACAGAGCTAGGACTGATGCTTGGTAAATTTAAGCCCCCAACTTTTTTTTTTTTTAATTGAGAGAGCGCTTTACTTTCAGATGCTCAAAAGAGTTTGTCTTATCTTTAAAGTAATTAAGAGACCAGGTACTGGTTCTGTTTTGTAGATGGTGCAATTGAAAAGTGCACAAGTTCTACCCTGATGGGAAGAAGCAGGCAGCTCTGGGCATGAAGTCAGGGTTGTGAGAAAAAACCGTTTTACCTCTGTCCTAGAGAAAGAGTAGCAGATAGCACAGACAACAAAAGAAATAGCATATATGATTACATTCTTTCTTGTGATCTTGTCAGGAATTATAGATGTGGTTCAACAAAGTTTTCCTCTGTATTCCCTACCTCTCCCTACTGGGGACAGAACCCAGGGCCTAGCACATGCTGGGCAGGTGCTCTACCGCTTGAGACACCCCTCCAGCCCCTTTTTATTTTGTTTTTGAGATAGGGTCTCACTAACTTTGCCCTGGCTTGCCTTGAACTCAAGATCCTCCTACCTCTGCCTCCTGAGTTGCTGGGATTACAGGTGTGTACCATAAGTTTTACTCTTATTTTAAATGTAAGTCCTTTGTAAAGCATGGATGTGTGCCTCCATTCATCACTCAGCTTCCTCAACCTTGTGGGAGCTTATAGAGCCAGCACATACACCTCAGGGTAGGAGAAGCTTTGGGGGCTCAGGTGCCTGCCATGACATGAGAGTAGGCAGGAGCCACAGTTAGCAGGTGTCTAGAATGCTCAACTTCTGTGATCAACCCATGGTGAAGCATGACCTACCTATGCAATTGAATTTTGTGTCTCCTCCCTGCTTTCTCTCCACAGCCATTGACTTGACATATGGAGGCATATACTGCTTCTTGTGTCAGGACTACATCTATGACAAAGACATGGAGATAATTGCCAAAGAAGAGCAGCGGAAGGCTTGGAAGATGCAAGGTTGGGTTCTGCCTAAACTTACCTACTTGCTTTGTCTCTTAAACCTGCGGTTATTCAGGTAGTAGAGACAAAACACCCAGGGTGCAAGTGGGAGTCATAGGTAGCACCATGTTGGGGGGTGGAGGGTAGATGAGACGACTCTCCAGTGGTTCTCTCCTTCCCTAAGGTTCACAGCGGTATTAACCTGTGCAGAGAGGGAAGTGGGATTGCAGCCACACAGGTGCTCCCCTTGCCCAGGTCCCCCATGTGCTGCAACTGCTGTGAGGGACTTTGCTGAGGTGGAGAAGAAAGATTGCACACATTGGCACTGTTCAGTTAAGGGTGCTTTTGTATACCCATATTAGCCCTGTCTAGCACCAGCAGAGCCATACCCTGTCTCATTTGGCTCATTTCAGGGGATGAATGACCCAGCACCAAGAAATCCCTGACAAGTAGTTCCTCCTCAGCTCTGTGGTACTCAGGAAAGTGTTCTTTCTGTGCAGTAACACTAAAAATAAACATAACGGTTCCTTCCAGGACGGTGAGCCACTTCACTGATTATATTCTTGTAGAATCTCTTTTAAAACTCTGAACTGTTTGGTGTTAAATCTGTGTCAGCAGAGTGGCATTGCAGGTGGAAAGTGGAACAGATCACCACAGAGCCCTCCTAACCTGCTCTCCTGGAAGGTGCTTTATGGCTCTGCTGCTGCTTGGGTTCCTTGCTTCCCTGTCCTCATGTGCACATTCTCGCAGCCACATAGCCAGAAGAGCAGCAGCATTGTAAAGCCCTGTTTTAGTATTTCTTGAGTTCCCTGATGTTACTTTTCATTTCACACAGAGGCTCACAATGGTGTGCAGTAACTGCTGGGTATGGTGTGTCCCAGTTGACCAGTGAGCACCTCATCTCTCAGGCTGCAGGACCAGTGCTGTGTGCAAGGGGAGCATGTAAACCTGGCCCATTTTACATCTTCTTGCCTTGACTGCTCTGTGTTGGAAGCATTCTCATTTTTTTTTTTTTAAAGCAAAAGAATAGAAAAAGGTGCTCTTAGCGCTCAGAATTGTTTATGGTCAACAGGTTATTTCTAGAGAGCAGTTTCTGTGACTTCTATTTTCTGCTGTTCCCCCTCAAAACTTAATACCGTTACCACTACTTGTGGGTATGTTACTGAATCATGCAGAAGTTTTTGCAGTGTGGACCAAGTGCCTCTTGAGTTAATAGAGTATGCATTAGGATGAAGGGTGGTGCTCGTTAGCATTTGCACCATCTGTGTCTTAGGTTTCAGTTTTCTGTAGTGCTCAAAGTCTGAAGCAGATGGATCAAAATGCATTTTCTTTTTTTTTTTTGCTATGTTGGGGATGGAACCCAGGGCCTCATGAATGCTAGGCGAGCATTCTATCACTGATCTACACCTCCAGCCTCAAAAGTACATTTTCTCTGTCAGTGGGAAAATCGTTTACTTCAGCTGCCAGATAGCTCCCATTGGAGCTGATGCTATAGTCTCTGTACCCAGAGATTGGAGGCATTTGATACAATAGCCATCTTGTATCAGTGTTAGGTGGTTTTGATGGGTGGTGTTACTTTCCTTATCTCAGAGAACATGCTGTGTTCATGGACATACATTGAGAGAAACTAGCCACGGGATGGTGTTAGAAAGCCCCAATGTTTGGGTGCCCCTCTAAAATACAGCTTGATAAATAGTGTATCACTACAGCTTTTATTTATAAACACAAACCATGAGAATTTAGCAAGCAGCACTTGAAGTGTCCTTCATCTGCTTAGGTGCTGGAGAGAAGTTTTCGACTTGGGAACCAACTAAACGGGAGCTGGAGCTGCTGAAACACAACCCGAAGAGAAGGAAGATCACCTCCAACTGTACCATAGGTGGGTAGAGGACGTGCATTGAGTGTTATCCATCTTTACTTGTTAGGCTCCCAGTGTAAAACTGGGTTTCATAACATCACGTGGTTCTGTTTGAGCCCTGTCTAACTACATACCCATCCAGGTTTTGAGCACCTGCTTTCTGCAGGGACTGTCTGCACATGTGTGGAAGGATAAATGGAGACTGTTCCTCCCATGTCTGCACATGTAAAGGGACTCAGGATACTCTGCCCAGGCTGATCCTTAGAAAGACACATGATGTGTCTGTGGATGTGAGGGTATTCACTAAGTGATTTAAGAATGGAGGAAATGCATTTTAGAACTTTTTTTTAAAAGCATTTTGGTTTGTTAGGTTCCATTCTGAACCAGCTGTTTTTATAGAAAATACATTTGGATGATTCTGACAAAACATGTAATAGACCAAGTGGGAAGGGGACAATGGTGGCATACATTCCTCAGTGTGATCCATATAAAAAATTAGAAAAATGTTACATTTCTTTTTGCTCTTCTCACTTCTTGAATGAATGAGTAAAAGAAAATCTGTTCATATAGTTGTGAAAGAAGCCACTGGGGACTGGCTTAGTGTGTCCATAGCCCAGTGCACAAGTAACTCTGCTCTCGGTGGCTGCCCTCCAGGCCTGCGTGGTTTGATCAACTTGGGCAACACGTGCTTCATGAACTGCATCGTGCAGGCTCTGACCCACACGCCACTCCTGCGGGACTTCTTCCTGTCCGACAGGCACCGCTGTGAGATGCAGAGCCCTAGCTCCTGCCTGGTCTGTGAGATGTCCTCACTCTTCCAAGAGGTAACTGCTGCCAATTTCTTGGTGAAATGGTTCTGTCACTTCTTGCTTTTCACCTTTAAAAAGAAAATAGGGCTGGGGTATGGCTCAAGTGTAGAGCTCCTGACTAGCAAGTGCAAGTTTCACCAAAAAAAAAAAAAAAAAAAAAAGAATAGAGTTGACCATAATAAGGGAAGGCAAATTTCCAGAACCTCATATAGTGAGTAAATATTTAATATATGCTTATAATATTGTGGAAGACACAGTTTTTCCAGAGGGATTGCTGGAGAAGAAGCTATTGGCTTGGATTGTAGGTTGCTACCTAGGAGAAGAGCTTCCTTCCTAAGGGAACATGGCAGTCAACTGGTGAATGACATTTATCTCCTTAAACACTGGCAATTTCATACTTAAATCCTGTTGTCTGCCACACTACATCTGATAAAGGCCTGCAGAAATGCACTGACCCCTTTCCCTTTTTTTTTTTTTTTTTTTTTTTTGCTGTACTGAGGTTTGAACTCAGAGCCTTGCTCTTGCTATGAAGGCACTCTACTGCCTGAGCCACTCCTTCAGCCTTCCCCTTTATTCTTAAGGAAAGTGGGTGCCCATCTGTCACCAGATCTTTCCAAATGTACTTCATTGTCTTTGTGAGCCTCCGCCCTGCACACTAGGCTTTCCTTGATCTGCTCATAGCTATGCTTCTGTCATATCTGCCCACTTCTAACCACACATCTGTCCCTAAAGGGTTGAGACCTACTTGGGCTGGGGCCTCAGGACCTGCTAACTCAGCAGCCTCAGACCAGATTCTCAGAGTTAAAATAGCTCAGTTACCCCAAATCCAAAGTGCTCTAAATTCCAAAAGTTTTGCACACTAGCATGACACCATAAGTAGAAAATTCCACCCCTCACCTATGATGGTTCGATGTACACAAACTTTCTTTCATATACAAAGTTATTTAAAATATATAAAATTACCTTCAGACTGTGTATAATTGAGTTTTGTGTTTAGACTTGGTTGCCATCCTCAGTATACCTCATTAGGTATATGCAGATACTCTAGAATCAGAGACATCTCTCGTCCTAAGCCTTCTGGATGCTTGGCCTTTATTGCTGGGTCTTGTGCTGGCTCATAGGCCAGGCTGTAAGACTGCTCTGTGGCATGGATCTGTGGCATGGATCTGTGGCGGCCTCTCAGTGCACATGCAGAGAGGTGTTCTTGCTGTGTTTGGGTAGAGATTTGGCTTTTTTGTTGGATTTCTAGGTATTTGTTTTATAGCTTGTAGGTGGGTATTGTTAGGTGTTTGTTTTATAATTTACATAATGAAAACTTTGAATATTTGCAACTTTCAAAAGTGAGTTCTGGTATGGCTAGGTGCTTGACTGTTGAAATACAGCATTCCTTGATCAGTGAGTTTAGAGTGCTTCAGTGCCTTCCTCATCCTGTCTGTTGACATTCACTCTTTTTTTTTCTTTTATTATTCGTATGTGCATACAAGGCTTGGTTCATTTCTCCCCCTTGCCCCCACCCCCTCCCTTACCACCCACTCCACCCCCTCCCTCTCCCCCCCACCCCCGCAATACCCAGCAGAAACTATTTTGCGACATTCACTCTTAAATTCTTTTCTTTACCAGGTGACACACGACTTGAGTATCCCTCATCTGAAATGGTTGGGAGTCTCTTAACATGTCTGGAGTATTTTGGATTTTGGAATTTTTGTGTAGACTTCATTGGTTTACTAATCCAAAATACTCAAAATGTAACATGTGCTCAAAAAGTTTCATGTTATGGGGCATTTTTGGTTTTAGATTTTCAGACTAGGGATACTCAACTTCTGCTATGTCTCTTCCTTATAGCTGTTCGCTACCTCTCACCTTTTATTAACTTCCAAGTATAAATCCTAAGCTTGTTGAGGAAGAATTTGACATTTCTGCTTCCTTGCCCACCTCATGCTCTTGTTTGTAAATGTCTGCTGGTGGCTGTCAAGTGAACCAGTCTTAGTAGTAGAACCTGAAAGAAGAAAGCTAACTAACTTCATGACTAATGCTGTGGTCTCAAGCATGCTAGGCACACGCTCTATTGCTGAGCTGCACTCCAGCCTATGTGTTAATAGTATATTGGCTACTATGTCATTTTTTCCATGATTATTTTTAGGATTTGTAATTTAGAATTACAAGTCTGTTCTTAAGAAAGGCATGCTGTGTGTTTATTCTAAGGAAAGTTAATGCTGGCTCAGAAGGTAAAACCTGAACTGTTCAGTGTCATCTGGACTTCTGGGTTCCTGCTTTTGTGTCTGAACAAGCAAGAGTCCTCTGGGTTCTTACCTGGGTGGGAAGCTGTGGACTGGAGATGAAGTGCTAGGTCTGATGTCTCAGCATACAGGCTTGGTCTCCCTGAGTTGGCTGCGAGCCTAGGCAGGAGACGAGTGGTATTGGAGTTCTGGAGTCCTAGAAGCACTCCTATAGCCAGTCCTAGTATGAATGTGCTACTGGACGTACCTGAGGTGGTTTGGCTGGGGCTTTATGCAGGCTAATGTTGGGTGGACTGAGTCACTTTGATTTGCTTTTGATTTTATGTTAGCAAATCATAATTCATTGCATAAGCTTATCTATAGAAAATAGGTTGTGGTGAGGAAGAAAATTCCACACAGACTCAGAAGGTCCAGTGAGTTCAAATAAAAACATGGCTTGCCAAAAAGAAAATAGTGAATAAGTTTTTGTCAAACTAGCCATTATCACCCTTAGGAGCTGTTTGTTGTTTTACTGTGTTTGCTGTATGCTCAAGTCTAACATATTCTCACAGTTTTCCCTTCTCTTTGAGCAGTTTTACTCTGGGCACCGATCACCTCACATTCCATACAAACTGCTGCACCTGGTATGGACCCATGCACGGCACCTGGCAGGTTATGAGCAGCAGGATGCACATGAATTCCTCATTGCAGCCCTGGATGTTCTCCATCGGCACTGCAAAGGTGAGTGGTGCTTGTGCCTGCCTGGGTTAGGGTGGGCGGTTTCCTTGAAGAGGGAGCAGGGTGACATTGTGTGCATACTCAGCAAATGGTGTCAGGACACATTTAATTTGTGTTGTATAGACCATATAATTATGTTCCAATAAGAGCAATACCGCATTTACCTCAATGAAGTTCTCTGTAGTTTATCTATTTATAATTGATTGATTGGTTGAGTCTGCTGTTTCAAGCTGGCCTTGAACTTAGAATCCTCCTGCCTCAGCCTCTCAGGTGCTGGAATTAAAGGTATGAGCCATCACATCCAACTCTCCATAGTTTATTTTTAGGGAAAAATAAATAGTTTCAGGTGTTGTCCTCACACCTTGCTGGGGGTGTAGCACGTGGTGGTGATGGTGTGTATGTGAGTGTGTGTGGGGTGGGGGTCCTTCATGATCATCATAGTGAACAGTGAAACCTTGCCAGGCCTTCCTGGAGGCCTCTGTCTGCTGCAAAGGCTCTGGGGTATCAGGTCCAAAGCTTCTGAATATTAATCATCCCCTCTTCCCTGGAAGTTTCCACTAGGACCAGTTGCTGCCCTAAAATAGCCAGAGAGCTGGAACAAACAGGAAGTGGACAGAGTCTTCCCTGACCCTAGTCAGGTTCTCTCTTGACTCTAACCAGAGCCTTTCATTTTGAAGTCTCCTGGGATCTTACTGGACCTTGCCTTCTACTGTAACATAGTCCAACAGTTTGGCCCCAGACAGAGGGTGGTACCCCTTCAGGGCTCGGGGTGGGGAGGAGCAGTTCTGGGTGCTAGAGGTGGAAGATTTGGACAAAATTACTTGAGCCCAGATGGTTCCCTCCTGCCCAGCTCACAGTAGAGTTCTCAATTCTGAGTATCTCAGATTTCAGCTAAGGGACAGTTCTCAAGTGTGGTTTTGAGTGGTTGGCTTGAGGGTTCTTTATAAACATTGTAGGTATTCAGTAGATCTGGGTGAAGATCAGAAGGTGCCATGCCTACTCAGGTTGCAGGTGATGGCTGAGGCCGCTGCTCAGATCTCACACCCCAGAACACCATGCCCTCGTAGTGAATTAATTGGCTCCTTCTGGGTCACCTGTGGCTGTGGGCTGCTACAGCTGGTTGTAAGTGGTGTCCTCCCAACTGGTCTTCTTTTTAATTGGTGCCTTTTAAAGAGCAAATCAGCTGGCTTTCTTGACACCTTTCCTGTGTCTTTCCAGCCATGCTGAGGGCTGTCAACCCATCTCACCAGTGCCCCCTGAAGCTGAAGCTTCAGCTCACAGATAGCCACACTTTGATGGCTTGTTTGTATCAGCTGTCATGCTTGGAGTTCTGTTTTGTTGATACTTTTTTTTTTTTCCCTGAAAACATACGTGATCCTTTTAATGCTTGCCCTAGGAATCAAATAAAAGTTTCTTAATAGCTTAAATAGGTTGAGTTTCCTGGTATGATGTTTAAAATAGAACAGAAAAGAGCTGCTGTGAAAGAGTAATTTTTCTTTATTTCTATTATTCCAGACACTTGATAAGAAAAGTTAAGTGCAGGATACTGGTGGCTCATGCCAGTAATTCTAGGTACTCAGGAGGCAGAGATCAGGAGAATTGAGATTCAAAGCCAGCCCCAGGCAAATAGTTCGAGAGACCCTGTGCAAAAAATCCATCACACAAAAAAATGGAGGGGTTGGTAGAGTGGCTCAAAGTGTAGGCCCTGAGTTCAAACCCTAGTACTGCAAAAAAAGAAAAGAAAAATTAAGAGCCTTTTGTAATCCATAGAAATCTGTTCTAAAAATCAGTTTTATAAAAATACATTGCTATAAAAATTTTCATATAACAAAAAAGATGAAACCATCATCATCTGCTTCTGATATAACTCTATTAAGTATCTGGAAAACACTGAGTTCTTCGATTTAGAAACTCAGTCATGGGCTGAGGGTGTACTTGGAGGTAGATGCCTGATTCAGGTGTGCAAGACTCTGGATTCCAACCCCAGCACACAAAAACAAAGAAGAGATATCAGAATTCTGCCCGAAGGTTGCTGGGCCCCACTGCAAGTGGTTGTGTGTAGTTTACAAGTTGTTACCTCTGGGGAATCTTCTTCCCATTCTCTCCTTGCATTTTCGTGTACCCAGTAATGATTTGTCCTGCATAATTGAGATCCTTCTGGGCAGTGTTTTCTCCCTAATCTTCAATATTCTGGGCAGCTGGTGTCAAGACTCAGTGGCCAGTCTTCATTCTTCTCTAGTTCTGTTTTTTTGATATGTGATCTTTATACATATGGCATGCTCAATATTCCCTTCTCTACTTGAATGAAATTTTTTTTTTCATTTTTTTATTATTCATATGTGCATACAAGGCTTGGTTCATTTCTCCCCCCTGCCCCCACCCACTCCCTTACTACCCACTCCGCCCCCTCCCTCTCCCCCTCCTCAATACCCAGCAGAAACTATTTTGCCCTTATTTCTAATTTTGTTGTAGAGAGAGTATAAGCAATAATAGGAAGGAACAAGGGTTTTTGCTGGTTGAGATAAGGATAGCTATACAGGGCATTGACTCACATTGATTTCCTGTGCGTGGGTGTTACCTTCTAGCTTAATTGTTTTTGATCTCACCTTTTCTCTAGTACCTGTTCCCCTTTTCTTATTGGCCTCAGTTGCTTTATGGTATCTGCTTTAGTTTCTCTGCGTTAAGGGCAACAAATGCTAGCTAGTTTTTTAGGTGTCTTACCTATCCTCACCCCTCCCTTGTGTGCTCTCGCTTTTATCATGTGCTCATAGTCCAATCCCCTTGTTGTGTTTGCCCTTGATCTAATGTCCACATATGAGGGAGAACATACGATTTTTGGTTTTTTGAGCCAGGCTAACCTCACTCAGAATGATGTTCTCCAATTCCATCCATTTACCAGCGAATGATAACATTTCATTCTTCTTCATGGCTGCAAAAAATTCCATTGTGTATAGATACCACATTTTCTTAATCCATTCGTCAGTGGTGGGGCATCTTGGCTGTTTCCATAACTTGGCTATTGTGAATAGTGCCGCAATAAACATGGATGTGCAGGTGCCTCTGGAGTAACAGTCTTTTGGGTATATCCCCAAGAGTGGTATTGCTGGATCAAATGGTAGATCGATGTCCAGCTTTTTAAGTAGCCTCCAAATTTTTTTCCAGAGTGGTTACTAGTCTACATTCCCACCAACAGTGTAAGAGGGTTCCTTTTTCCCCCATCCTCGCCAACACCTGTTGGTGGTGGTGTTGCTGATGATGGCTATTGTAACAGGGGTGAGGTGGAATCTTAGCGTGGTTTTCATTTGCATTTCCTTTATTGCTAGAGATGGTGAGCATTTTTTCATGTGTTTTCTGGCCATTTGAATTTCTTCTTTTGAGAAAGTTCTGTTTAGTTCACATTGCCCATTTCTTTATTGGTTCATTAGTTTGGGAGAATTTAGTTTTTTAAGTTCCCTATATTCTGGTTATCAGTCCTTTGATGTATAGTTGGCAAATATTTTCTCCCACTCTGTGGTGTTCTCTTCAGTTTAGAGACCATTTCTTTTGATGAACAGAAGCTTTTTAGTTTTATGAGGTCCCATTTATCTATGCTATCTCTTAGTTGCTGTGCTGCTGGGTTTCATTGAGAAAGTTCTTACCTATACCTACTAACTCCAGAGTATTTCCTACTCTTTCTTGTATCAACTTAAGAGTTTGGGGTCTGATATTAAGATCCTTGATCCATTTTGAGTTAATCTTGGTATAGGGTGATATACTGGATCTAGTTTCAGTTTTTTGCAGACTGCTAACCAGTTTTCCCAGCAGTTTTTGTTGAAGAGGCTGCTATTTCTCCATCGTATATTTTTAGCTCCTTTGTCAAAGATAAGTTGTTATAGTTGTGTGGCTTCATATCTGGATCCTCTATTCTGTTCCACTGGTCTTCATGTCTGTTTTTGTGCCAGTACCATGCTGTTTTTATTTTATTGCTTTGTAATATAGTTTGAAGTCAGGTATTGTGATACCTCCTGCATTGTTCTTTTGACTGAGTATTGCCTTGGCTATTCGTGGCCTCTTGTGTTTCCATATAAATTAACAGTAGATTTTTCAATCTCTTTAATGAATGTCATTGGAATTTTGATGGGAATTGCATTAACATGTAGATTACTTTGGGAGTATAGACATTTTTACTATGTTGATTCTACCAATCCATGAGCATGGGAGATCTCTCCACTTTCTATAGTCTTCCTCAATCTCTTTCTTCAGAAGTGTATAGTTTTCCTTGTAGAGGTCTTTCACATCTTTTGTTAGGTTTACACCTAGGTATTTGATTTTTTTGAGGCTATTGTAAATGGAATTGTTTCATACATTCTTTTTCCGTTTGCTCATTGTTAGTGTATAGAAATGCTAATGATTTTTCTATGTTGATTTTATATCCTGCTACCTTGCTATAGCTATTGATGATGTCTAGAAGCTTCTGAGTAGAGTTTTTTGGGTCTTTAAGGTATAGGATCATGTCGTCTGCAAATAGGGATATTTTGACAGTTTCTTTACCTATTTGTATTCCTTTTATTCCTTCTTCTTGCCTAATTGCTCTGGCTAGGAATTCCAGTACTATGTTGAATAGGAGTGGAGATAGTGGACATCCTTGTCTGGTTCCTGATTTTAGAGGGAATGGTTTTAATTTTTCTCCGTTAAGCATAATGCTGGCTGTAGGTTTGTCATATATAGCTTTTATAATGTTGAGGAACTTTCCTTCTATTCCTAGTTTTCTTAGAGCTTTTATCATGAAATGATGTTGGATCTTATCAAAGGCTTTTTCTGCATCTATTGAGATGATCAAGTGGTTTTTGTCTTTGCTTCTGTTAATGTTTTTTATTACATTTATTGATTTTCATATGTTAAACCACCCCTGCATCCCTGGGATGAAGCCTACTTGGTTGTGGTGAATAATCTTTTTGATGTGTTGCTAAATTCAGTTTGCCATTATTTTGTTGAGGATTTTTGCATCAATGTTCATTAAGGAGATTGCCTGTAGTTCTCCTTTTTGGAGGTGTCTTTGCCTGGTTTGGGATAAGTGTAATACTGGCTTCATAAAATGTGTTTGGCAGTTTTCCTTCCCTTTCTATTTCATGGAACAGTTTAAGGAGGGTTGGTAACAGTTCTTCTTTAAAGGTCTGATAGAATTCAGCAGAGAATCCATCAGGTCCTGGACTTTTCTTTTTGGGGAGACTCTTGATTGCTGCTTCAATTTCATTTTGTGTTATAGGTCTATTCAGTGATTAATTTCCTCTTGGTTCAGTTTTGGATGATCATATGTTCTAGAAATCTGTCCATTTCTTTAGATTTTCAAATTTATTTGAATATAGGTTCTCAAAGTAGTCTCTGATGATTTCCTGGACTTCCATGGTGTTTGTTGTTATCTCCCTTTTGCATTCCTAATTCTACTAATTTGGGTTTTCTCTCCTCATTTTAGTCAGGTTTGCCAGGGTCTATCGATCTTGTTTATTTTTTCAAAGAACCAACTTTTTGTTTCATTAATTCTTTGTATGGTTTTTTTGGTTTCTATTTCGTTGATTTCAGCTCTTATTTTTATTATTTCTCTCCTTCTATTTGTTTTGGGATTTGCTTGTTCTTTTTTTCTAGGAGTTTGAGATGTATCATTAGGTCATTGATTTGGGATCTTTCAATCTTTTTAATATATGCACTCATGGCTATAAACTTCCTCTCAAGACTGCCTTAGCTGTGTCCCATAGGTTCCTGGTAGGTTGTGTTTTCATTTTCATTGACTTCCAGGAACTTTTTAATTTCCTCTTTTATTGCATGATCCATTCTTCATTAAGTAATGAGTTATTTAGTTTCCAGCTGTTTGCATGTTTTTTGTCTTTTACTTTTGTTGTTGAGTTCTACTTTTACTGCATTGTGGTCAGATAGTGCACGGTATATTTCTATTTTCTTATATTTGCTGAGGCTTGCTTTGTGCCCTAGGATATCTATTTTGGAGAAGGTTCCATGGGCTGCTGAGAAGAATGTATATTGTAGAGGTTGGATGAAATGTTCTGTAGACATCTACTAGGTCACTTGATCTATTGCATATTTTAGATCTTGGATTTCTTTATTGAGTTTTTGTTTGGATGACCTATCTATTGATGATAATGGGTGTTAAAGTCTCCCCACAACCACTGTGTTGGCGTTTATTATGCTTTAGGTCTTTCAGGTATGTTTGATGAAATTGGGGCTGCATTGACATTGGGTGCGTACAGATTGTGATTATTATTCCTTTTGGTCTATTTCCCCTTTTATTAGTATGGAGTCCTTCTTTATCTCGTTTGATCAATGTAGGTTTGAAGTCTACTTTGTCAGAGATAAGTATTGCTACTCCTGCTTGTTTTCGGGGCCATTGGCTTGGTAAATCTTCTTCCAGCCTTTCATCCTAAGCATATGCTTATTTCTGTCGGTGAGATGAGTCTCCTGTAAGCAACAAATTGTTGGATCTTCTTTTTTAATCCATTTTGTCAAAATGGTGTCTTTTGATGGGTGAATTAAGTCCATTAACATTAAGCGTTAGTACTGATAGGTATGTGGTGATTCCTGCCATTTAGTTTCTTAGTTGTTTGAAGGTTTGATTGTGTGTACTAACTTGATGTTACTCTCTACTGTCTTGCTTTTTCTTATCCTGTGGTTTGGTGCTGCCTGCCTTTTCATGGTTAAGTTGGGTGTCACTTTCTGTGTGCAGATCCCTTGCAGAATCTTTTGTAATGGTGGCTTTGTGGTCACATATTGTTTAGTTCTCTGCTTATCATGGAAGACTTTTATTGCTCCATCTATTTTGAATGATAGCTTTGCTGGGTAGAGTATCCTGGGTTGAAGTTATTTTCATTCAGTGCCCAGAAGATCTCACCCCAACGCTCTCTTGCTTTTAATGTTTCTGTTGAGAAGTCTGCTGTGATTTTGATGGGTTTAACCTTTGTATGTTACTTGTTTTTCTCTCTTACAGCCTTCAATATTCTTTCCTTAGTTTCTGAACTTGTTGTTTTAATGATGATATGTCTGGAGTAGTCTATTTTGATCTGGTCTGTTTGGTGTCCTGGAGGCCTCTTGCATTTGTATGGGAATATCTTTCTCTAGATTGGGAAATTTTCCGTTATTATTTTGTTGAATATATTACATTCCCTTCGCTTCCCACCTTTTTCTCCTTCTTCGATGCCCATATTCTCAAGTTTGTCTTTTGATGGAGTCAGTGAGTTCTTGCATTTGCTTTTCACATCTTGAGTTGTTTAATTAATAGTTCTTGGTTTTTCCTTTAATTACCATTTCATCTTCAAGTTCTAGAATCTGTCTTCTGTTGTTCTATTGCTGATGCCTTCCGTTTTTTTGCAGTTCTGTTTCGTTTCTTTCTGAGTTTCTATCCTGCAGTTTTCTTCTTTATGTTGTCTATTTTTTCCTGAGTTCATTTTCCATTTATTCATTGTGTTCTCTCTTTCACTTTGGTGTTTATACAGTGCTTCTATGGTTTCCTTTATTTCTTCTTTTGCTTTTCAAATTCTCTATTTTTACTGTCTTGGAATTTCTTGAGTGTCTCCTGTACATTTTGGTTGACCCTATCCAGTATCATCTCTATAAAATTCTCATTGAGTACTTGTAGTATGTCTTCTTTTAAATTATTCTTGTGGGCTTCATTGGGTCCTTTGCCATAGTTTATCTTCATTTTGTTGGAGTCTGGATCTGAGTTTCTGTTCTCTTCATTCCCCTCTGGTTCCTGTACTAATTTTTTGCTGTGGGGAAACTGGTTTCCTGTTTTTTCTGTCTTCCCGTCATTGTCCTTGGTGTTGTTACTGTCCCTGTACTGTGTGTAATTAAGTATTTTCTAGCTTTGTAATAATAACAATGGTAAATATTTTAAATGGAAGAGTGAGCTGAGATGGAAAGCAAGAAGTTAAAGAAAAGGGGAAAACAAATACACAGACAAGAGGGAGAAAGCAGAACAAGGTATCAGACAAGAGAGTTTCAAAGGTATAAACAGGGAGTGTTAGTGTACTAATCAACAGTAAGCTGGTCAGCGTCTTCCCAAGCCGTATGGGCGCCGGCCACTGGCGCCCGGGGGCCCTCCTCGTTTCTCCGGTGAAGTGAGATCCTGCACCGGCGGAGATGTGGAGTCAAAGTTATGCCTTTTCTCGGTGATTATGCCTGCAAAGTGTGTCTCCAGCGTCTCTCCAAGCTTTCACTATAGGAGGGTCGCTTTCTGCTTCCTACCTCTAGCCGCCATCTTGGAATTCCCCCTTGAATAAAATTTTAGTAGCATATCTATGCCACATAATGAGTTACATTCTGCTACTTAAGTTTTGCATCTGCCTATCTACAAACACATGTGTAAGTAAAATGTCTATTGAATAGAGAGGGTAGGAGTGTAACATGTTGATGTAACTGACTGGCAGGTGCTGCTGGTTAGTTACCTGTGGTTCTAGAATGCCGGGGCCCATGAGGAAAGACCAGAGCAGAGGCGAGCTGCGTCGCATCCTGGAGGGAGGCCCCTATTGATCTAGTTGTGGGAAGAGGCTCTTCCTGGCATATGTGGCCCAGCACATATTGGGCTGTCTCACTGAAAAAATATTTGATTCTGTGTATGAAAAGGGAATCAATGACTACTCAGTTATTGGACATCAGATGCGCTTTGTTAAGTAGAAGCAAGGGAGATTTCTTAGGGAATGGAGCAAAAAGAGCATTGAAAATCCAGCTGCTCTGATCTCATGAACTGTCTGTTGAAATGACAAATGTCTTCATCTACCTTGTAGAGTGTCAGCACTCCTGGTTTCTTCCTGACTTTGCTGGTAGATGTGGAAACTTACTGTTCACTGGCTTAGACACTAATCTATGCTCTGTCCCCAGGTGATGACAATGGAAAGAAAGCCAACAATCCCAACCACTGCAACTGCATCATCGATCAGATCTTCACAGGTGGGCTGCAATCTGATGTCACATGCCAAGTCTGCCAGTAAGTACCACCATCAGCTGGATGGACAGTCACTTGCACTGTCAGGACCTGTCTGGGCTACTCCCAGTTGACAGAAGTATGTGTTCTGGCAAGCATGTAAGATAGACTTGTGAGCCTAAAGCTTAGCACCTCTTTAGAGATTGATCTGTAGGTTGTGTGGTGCTACTTATGGTGGAGCGCCTATAAGATGAGCAGTTTTAGTTCAACAATCATGCTGTGAATGTTTGTTACATAAAATAGCTCTGATAGAGAAGTCACAAGAGAATTGAACAGATTGCCTGAGTGCTAAGGGCCATGGAGGCTTTTCCCCTTGGCAAAGGCCTGCAGGGCCAGGATCCCAGTGTTGAGATCCTCTCTGCTGTTGTCCACATTTAGCAGGGTGTTCCTGTGAAATTTCCCCCACATTTCTCTGCTTTCTTTATAGTCCTAGATGACAGGAAGCAAATAAAGTAGCCCTCTTCAGGAAGGGCTGGATCACAGAGGACAGACTTTTGGCTTCTGTGCTCCAAAGTGTGTTAGTTTTAGTTATGGTTTTCTCTTGGATTTGCCATAACATAGTGTCCTTAGTTCTTTCCAGGTGTAACCTCTGCTTAGCACTCAAGCTTAAGTGCCAGAGCGAGGATCTGTTGGTGTTGGGCTGGAGGAGATCTTGTTTAGCCCCAGGGCACACTGCTGTTTTTATTACAGTTCAGTTTTTTAAGACCCTGGTTATGACCCACCACAGTCATTCAGAGCCCCTGATAGATTGCCACCTGCATTCCATGCAAGGTCTGGAACTGGGTTGCTGTCACTGACACGGATGCAGTTTTCTTTCAGTAACAAAACTTGGGGCTGGGTTCTGAGCAGTTTAGAACTCCTCACTAGTCCTTAACTACTGAATTCTACTAGCAGGAGATTGTCTCCGACTTACATTCTGTTTAAATATCTATAGTGAATTTCACATTCCGAGTTTTCTTTTTATTTATTTTATTTTTGAGTTTCCTTTTGTATAATATTATAAATTAAATCTCCAGGCAGGAATCAGCCTTGTTAAATGCAGCATTTCATGTTCCACCAGGCCTGCCGAGCTGGCCTGTGCGCACTGGGTGTGGTGTGGTGGGTGGGGGTGGAGTGGGGGTTCCATCATCACTCAGGAAGATATGCCCTGTTTCTGCGTAATCATGTTGCAGTTCCTACATGCAGTGAGATTCAGGGAATCAGAGCCTCAGGAATTTATACTTTGCTCACATTCCCTAAATGAAGGCAGTGGTGTCCCAGGTTGGAAACCATCATCTTGGGAACTTGGAATGTGTTGGTGTGAGAGTTCCTGCTATGTCTAGCCTCAGGTGCCCTTAGAACAAAAGAGCAGAGCAGGACAGAGGGTTGGCTCTGTAGGAACTGCCTCGGAGGCCACAGCAGACATCATTCCTCATATTTATCTTCTTTTCCTGCAGTGGAGTTTCTACCACCATAGACCCTTTCTGGGACATCAGTTTAGACTTGCCTGGCTCCTCCACCCCTTTCTGGCCACTGAGCCCAGGGAGCGAGGGCAGCGTGGTGAATGGGGAGAGCCACGTGTCAGGCACAACTACGCTCACAGACTGCCTGCGGAGGTGAGCACCCCAACACTGGTAGGGAAAGTAGCAGGTCAGCAGGACGCCCTGAATTCAGGGCATACACTGGAGTATTGTTTTTCATGTCCAACCAAACATTGAGAAGAGGTGCTGCAGTAGGTGCCCAGAGCTTGTACTAATCTGTCACTTTTTTTCTTTTTTACAAGATGATTAGAATTTCTGTCCATCAGCTTTGCATGGTAGCTTGTCTGTATCACAAGCCACTAATTCACCCCCAGCCACCCTTCACGTAGATGAGCCAGAGTGAAAACTACAATGGCCCCTCTCCTTGTGTATGTGGCCTTTCTGCGTGTGATTAAAACAATTGTGTTGTTCTGCACTTAGATCATTTTTAAAAATTTGTCCCTTTACTACTTTGTTGATATAGAAAACTAGGATTTAAGTTGCTTTTTCTTATACCAGTTAGAGTTGCTGCAGAAGAGTCCCTGCTAAGGGACACATTCTGTAGAAGAGACAGTGTTTTGGGGTGTACTTTGATGCATGGTCAGCAGGAATAGAGTTGCCTGCTTAGTCTTCTAAAATGCATTAACTTTGTTGCACTAACAAGTCCAGATATTAAATGGGAGTCAAATTTTTAGCTTGAGAAACAAAGAAACATCCAAAAACATTTTCCAAGAGTCTTTACAATTAAATTTAGTCATAAATCTCAGTAAAATTAAACTTCGCACTTTATTAACAAAACTTTGCTGGCAGCTGTGGGCGGTTGGGAGAGTCAAGGGGCTGTAGTAGTCCTCCAGAAACTGAGGACAAGTGAATACATCCATCTACAACTTGTGTGAGAAGCAGCAGGTTGCCAAGTGTGGTGGTGCTTACTTATAATTCTAGCACTAGGGAGGCTGAGGCAGGACAAGGGAGAATTCCAGGTGCCCTTTGTCCAGTCCCCCCATAGTGACACCCACCAGCAGAAGTGCATGTCAGAGCAGAATGCTGAGACAGATACAAGTAGGAGTCAGCATCCCTGTCCCCATAACGTCCCTCCTGGCCCTCCCCCTGCCAACCCACCACCACCCTCCTCACCTTAGCATCCAATCTCTTGCTTCCTATAGATTTCACTTCTCAGGAATGTTTATGAACGGAGTCAAACAATGCTCACCTGTGAGAATGCTCTTTCCATTCCTCCTGACCCCAGTCCATCCCTACCCTGTGTCAGTAGGTCATTCCTTTTTATTGCTGACTGCCATCCTGTGAGATGGTGAAGCACAGTTTGATCTTCTGGGTTATTGCCATGTTGGGGCTTTTACACGTACAGCTGCTATCACCATTTGTAGCTTTTGTGTTTTTGTGTGACTGTATCTTCATTGTTCTGAGACAAATTCAATTACTGGTACATATGATAGTCAGAAAGTTAGCATCATTTCCCCAGATCTTTCATTTAAACAAAAAATATTTAGGATAAAATACTTTAAAAGAAGTAGAAAGGGAAGATGAAGAAAGAAAGTGTTGTTTTTTATTGTAAAATTATAAACCACCTTAAACTGTAGGCACATGGTTTTTTGCTTGTTTGTTTTTGTTTTTAATTTTTACAGTACTGAGGTTTGAACTCCAGGCTTTATGCTTGCCAGGCAGGTGTTCTACCACTTGAGCCACTCAACCATTCCTCGGCATGTGTTTTTAGTAGGGAAACTAACCTATCAAAAGTGGCAAAATACCCCGTTTCTCTTTTTTCCTCCTCTGTGTCTTACCTTTCCCCTCTTCTTTCCTAAAAAGCATGCTTTTTAAATACTTTGTAGATTTACCAGACCAGAGCACTTAGGAAGCAGTGCGAAGATCAAGTGCAGCGGTTGTCATAGCTACCAGGAGTCCACTAAGCAGCTCACCATGAAGAAGCTGCCCATTGTGGCCTGCTTTCATCTCAAAGTAAGTTTCCCTGTGATAACTAGCCACAGTGGCAAGCCCAGAGAATGGCCTACAGCATAGTCTAGAACCTGCTAGAATGGGCAGAGGACACTACACTGCCACTAATCAGAGTGTCAAAGAAGTGGGGAGGGAGAATTCCCATGCTTTCTTTTCCGCTGCTTTGTAGTGGCGCACATCTGTTACCCAAACCACTATGGGAAGCCTAAAATAGGAGTGACTTGGTCCAGACTAGCCTGGGCAAAAAGCGAGACCTTATCTCCAAAATAACCAGAGTAAAAAGGACTCTGAGGTATGGCTCAAGAGGTAGTACCACCAAAAATAAAAAATACAAATTTTTAAAAATTAGATAAAAGATGTGGTGGTGCACTTCTATAATCCCAGAACTCAGGAAGTTGAGGTGGGAGGATCATGAGTGTGAAGCCAGCCTGGCCCACATAGTGAGACCCTGTCTCAAAAATATAAATAAATTCTCAGAGAAGGACCCTGGAGGGAGTCTCTTCCAGTTTGCCAACTGACTGTCACTTAATCTTTTCTGTTTGTTCACTCCTTCCCTCCTTCCACAATTTCTGTAGCGATTTGAACACTCAGCCAAGCTGAGGCGGAAGATCACCACATATGTGTCCTTTCCCTTGGAATTGGACATGACGCCCTTCATGGCCTCCAGGTAGGAAAGAGTTAATTCCACTGATCTGGGGTGGGGCAGGTCATCCTGTGTGGATGGTCATCCAGCACCAGGCTTCTAGGTCAAGGTGATCATAGCAATTAATGTAAACCTTACCGTCCCAAAACTTAGTTATTTGTCCTGATCTGACCCAAGACACAGTTTAGTGAGTTATTTTTTTCCTCAGATAGGCAGTTTATGCTTTAGATTTTTCTTTAGCAATCTCTTGCCAACTTTTAAACTTAGAACTCATTCAGGTGAGCTCACAGTCAAGTATCAGTGTTTTAGTTGATGGGAACTGATTTTGAAATACAGATAAGCATGGTTGGCTTTGCAGTTATTATGGATTTCATTTTCCTTGTTTTTAAATCTATATCATAAAACCACTGTTAACTCTCCAAAAAGCCATGATGCTTGTGTTCTGTTACTTGCCATTCATAAATTTGGTGGATTAAAACAACAGAAATTTATTTTCTCTTAGTTCTAGAGGCCAGAAATGTGAAATCATGGTGTGGAGTAGGCCCACTTTGGAAGGGTCCAAGGGTTTCTTTCCTCACCTCTGGGTTCTTTCGTGACCACATCACTGCTCTGACTCCTGGTATCAGGGCCTCCCCTTGAGTATATCTCATCACCCTTGGCATCTCTCTCATAAAGACACTGAACATTAGGTTTAGGACCCAGATGATCCAGGAAGATCTCATGTAATTACATCTGTAAAGACCTTTTTTCAAATAAGGTTACATTCATGGTTCTGAGGGTCGATACATGAACATTACCTTTTCAGAGACCACAGTTGAACCCACTGCACCACTCAAGTAGGTTGCATATTGTTAGTTACCGGTGTCTTTCCTTGTGCTAGCCCTGCCCTAAGGGTCACAGGTGACAACCCCAAATAAAACGAGCCCATCAGAATTTCACCTCTGAAAATAAGACCGCTCAACTATGTGTTCACATATCCAGGGAGGTGGCAGCAGTGTTGCTGATGTGACAGTATCAAGGGTCTTAATGCTTTCTGCTAACCTCAGCACATTAAATGAGTTACTGCTCATTTCCAACACAGCCCTTCTTCCCATCATACCAGATGTGTTGGTGGTAGAATAAACAGTGGTGATCCTTGTGCTCTTTGAGGAGGCAATTGTCTGTGTTATAGAGTGGATTTAACTTACACTCTGTCTTAGGGAAGAGCAGTATGTTTGACATCTGTAACCTTAATGCAGGTTACAAACAAAAGTCTTTTCACAAAGCCTGCTTGGAAGCTCCTGAGGCAGAAAATGGCTGGGGTCCTGCTTAAGAGTAGACCCATCACAGAAGTACCAAGGAGGCTGTGAGGCCAGGGGGCTGTGGGCTGCTGTGCTCCAAGGCAGTTTGCCTCCCAGCTCAAGCCTCAGTGTCCTCACCACAGCACAGGGACAGTTGTGCTTACAGTGTAGTTACTGGAAGAACTAGAGAACCAGTTAACTCTACCCCTGCACAGCATTAGCACAGCAGGCCCTCAGATGATGCTGATAATATCATTAGAGCCTCATGCCTCTGGTGGTTTATTTTAAAAGGATACTGAGTTTTGCTGTTGTTGATTACAGCAAAGAGAGCAGGATGAACGGGCAGTACCAGCAGCCTACAGACAGTCTCAACAATGACAACAAGTATGTGGGGCTTTGGGGCACATGGGGATGAGTGGGCTTCCCAGACCACAGAGAGGGTCAGACTGCCTGCAGGAAGGAATGCACTTGGGAGCAGTGGGGGTAGAACTCCCGATTCTCATTGCCACTGACCTGCTTCTAGTGAGGCTCCTCCCAGCAGGAGACCTTTCCCTTCCTGGGGCCTCTGGTGTGTGGGAGGTTCTGCTGGAAGCTCAGCCTCTTCACCAGCATGACAAGCTTGTTTTCCTGTTACTGTTCCACCTGCCTCCAGTTCCTCTTGCCATTGGCATCAGAAAGATAGACCATTACTGCCACCACGTCTTCTAAGTGTGGTTGAAGGAATTAGCTGGACCGAGGCAAAAGCTGAGTGAGGCAGAGCTGATTCTCCCTTCTCTGCAGCTGTGTGCACGCTTTAGCTCTGAGGCCTTAGGGCAGGTCAGTGGGTTACCCACCCACCCTGAACTGTATGGTTTCCAACACGACATCATCTTCACTTGCTCTCTCCCCTTATTCACACCAGGTACTCCTTGTTTGCTGTTGTTAACCATCAAGGGACCTTGGAGAGTGGCCACTACACCAGCTTCATCCGGCAGCACAAAGACCAGTGGTTCAAATGTGATGATGCCATCATCACCAAGGCCAGCATCAAGGATGTGCTGGACAGTGAAGGGTGTGTTCAGCGTGTGGGGTTAGAGGGTCCCTGCAGTGACAATTCTGCCTCCCCTCATGTCCACCCAAAGCCACAGACTAGTCTGTGAATGTCATACTCAGGGTGTGCATCTTTAGTTGCTGAAGTGACCAGGGCTCCTCTGGGGTAGGATGCCACCTTGAGGTCATAAAAGAGGAAAGGATGTCCCTATCCGGAGGTGCAGTGAATGTTTCCTTCAGCTCAAGGAGTGTTGGAGTCTCCATTTGTCTTGGCCACAATGCACTGGGCATGTCTGTTCTTGATCCCCTTCTCCTCTTTACTGGTTTTGTCCCTTCATGGCACAGAAACCTGTGGGCCTGCAGGAACCAACAGGACCCCTTCACCATTCACCTTGAACTTACCTGGGTCCTTAGTCAGCAGAAAGATCAGCAAGATTTTCAACCCCAGGGACCAGGTGAAGCCAGCTGCTTTAAGGGTGTGCACATTTTACTCCGAGCACCAGGAGCCTCTAGCGAGGTTTCACAGAGGAGAATTTAGGTTAAGGGCAGCTTGCGGGGCAGTGAGATGGAAGGAAGCCCTTACCCGAGGGCAGTGAGATGGAAGGAAGCCCTTACCCGAGGGCAGTGATGATCATGGGCAGGATAAGTGATGGCAGAGAGGGCTGCAGGAGGTCCATGAAACCTTAGTGACTCACTGGCAAGAAGTAGGTAATCAGGCTGTCACCTTGGGGGCAGGGTAGGGCAAGACAGTATCCTTCAAGGGACTCTCTCCCAGGGGACTGAGAAACTAAACTACCCAACCAAGAAGTCAGACATGCAGAGGGCCCGTGCATGTGTTCTCACCTGGCACAGACTGCTTTGATTTTAATATTTAAGTCTGCTTCCCTTCTTCCTCCTCAGGTACCTGCTATTCTACCACAAACAGTTCCTGGAGTACGAGTAGCCCCCTCCACAGCTGGTCAGAAAAAAAGGAGAGCAAAAGTTGACATGCCTCCTGAGATGATCCCCTACTTCCCCAGTGACATGACCCTGCAACACCCTTCTGTGCAAATGTCCCACACGTATTGACCCTCTGCACCCAGGAGTTGTGGTGTTGGGGTGGACACAAGCTACAGGATCAGAATGGCCTTGTGCCCTGGGTGGGAAAGGAGCCATGGGCTCTGTTGTTAGTATCTTTTGTGTCGTCCAAACCCTGTGGGAGATTGGGGGTGGCCTCCTCATTGCACAGCAGCCTCTGCCTGGTGCTTCATTCAGTCATCCCGTGCGCACAGTTTAAAAAGGCACCCACTTAATTGAAAATTAATGGGTCCATTAAAGCTGTAAAGTAGACGGAGATGGTGTGCAAGGATAGGACTTGTGAGCACCTTTCTCTCAGTGGGGTATGGTATTTAATGCATGGAGTGTGGACTCTTAGCCTCCATTTTTTCTGCAGCTATAATGCAGCCCAGGAGCCCAAGGACCTGAGGCCGCTTACAAGCTCTAAGCACGTCCGTTCTGCAGATACCATAGCATTACCTGCATGTGGAAGCATCAGCCCAGATCTTCTCTTGGTTTTCTAGAAATAGGCATTTTCTTATCTGTCTCCCCTTTTCTCTTTTTTCACAATGGTGAATTTCATAAATGTAACAGTAGTAAAGTGAATGAGTATCGAGTTTATACTGAAATCTAGATCATTCCTCCTTCATTCTGAGAGTGTGTCTTGCTTTTTAATTGGTGCTGTTTTGTTGCTCCTTCCCCCTCCATACCTCCCTGTCCTTTGGTTAGCCACAGGCGGCAGAGGAGAACCGGGCTGTAGCTGGGAATGTCCCTGATAATCTTAATCTTTGGAGGAAATGGAATGTTCCCCAAACCTTGGTTCCATTGATCCCCTTCCCATTTTTCTTCCGAGTCTTTGGTCCCATGGCCTGTCTGGGGCTGCGTGGTGGCTGGTGCGCAAGATAAGAAGATGAGTGGACCCCAGTGGGGACTGCGTTGTGGCACCTTGCTCATGCCTCTGCTCTACATTTACTGTAATTTCAGTCTTAGCTGGAATAAAATGACTTTATGATAGAGTTTGTCAGCAGAACTGGTCAAGGATGTTTCTTATGAGATATCTTGCATGTTTCTATCTAGTCAAACCCAGATTTAAGATTATTTGCCCATTTCTGAGAAATTACAGCATGGTGACTTGGGGGCAGAAGCATTGTTTTGAACCACAGTGTCAGCTGTGTTGGCCATGAGAACCTTGCCCTGCCTGCAGCGGCCTATGGGGAAGTTGCTGTTGCCAGGTCAGCAAGCGTTTCTCCTAAGAGCCAGGTAGTGAGCATTTTAGGCTTTGTGCATTGTGCAGTATTTTGCCATAGATAACATGTGAACTGTGAGTGTGGCTATGTTCCGATGGTCTTTTACTTATGGTCCCTGAAGTTTAAATTATGTAGAATTTTCACAGTGTCAAGAAATTTTGCTTCTTTTAAAAAAACTGTTTGAAAATAAGATTTTTTCTTAGCTTACAGGCCACACAAGAGCAAGCAGGGTCCCTGACCTCACTCATTAGCTAGTTATGTTGGGGTGGAGGCAGTAATGGTAGGAGGCTGAGTAGCTTCTGCTCAGGATATAGGGAACAGCAGTCACACTGCAGAGCCATCAGGATGGCAAAAGCTTTACACAGTACACTTTTTAAAGCACTTGCCCTGTTCATTCTCAGTTGTATTTTTGCATTTAAAAACAAAGTTGAAGCATGCTTTAAAATAAGCATTACTGGAGCAATTTGGGTGGGCCCAGATTTTCAGGCATGGCTTCATGTAGCTTCTGTGTGTCTGTGTGATTCTGCAGTGAAGCTCTCCTCTAGGAAGAGACAGTCTTTTAATTGGGAATAAATCTATTGGAAAGGAGACTTGACCAAAGTCACCTCCAGAAGTCCAAGCCTGGAGCCCTCTGAAGGCCCATCCCCTCTGCACCCTGGCTTGATGGGTGTCCAGATGCAAGCAGGAAACAGGCAGGTGTACCAGCTGGGCCTGCTTCCTCCCTCCCCACACACCTAATCCCCTGTCCCCACTTGTGTTTAGGGGTGTCAGCCACTCCAAAAACATTACAACTAAGGAAAAGGACATTTGTCTTTGCAGGCATTCTATTAAACTTTTGTACCCAGATTAACACTTCTTCACTGGCTTTGGCATTCTGGGCACTTGGTTCTGCAGCTGCTAAGGGGAAGCCGGGGTTTGTGGGCACCGCATTCCTGCTCAATCTTGCCTTCTGCTGGGGTCCTCAGCATTACGTCCCGTGTTTGATATGCTTATGTGACTTTTCCTTGTGAGGAGCAACATTTTTACATGGTGGGTTTGGAAATCTCTTCCTTTAGCTCCTTACCTGACTGTTAAGTCAGGAAAATGGTTTCCTGGGAGTCATCCCAGGTAGGTGTTCAGAAGATTGCAAAGTACAGCTTGCCACTTAGGACTCACTATGTCACTCTGTCCCCTAAAACACATAAGAGTACTTTAAAAAAAAAACAAAACAAAACCTGTGTTTGGGGTTGCTAGCTCTCATGTCAGAGCTTCACAGTAGACAAGTAGACTTGTCCTCTGCTGATATCTAAAGTGGGTATCTTGAGCCCTTCTAAGTGCAGGAGGCATGGGGTGGCCTGAGGACAGAGCAGACAGCTTCCATCTGCCCAGAGGGCTCTGTGGCCTGCCATTGACCTGGAGCTGGGCCTGGGCTCTCTTGACAGGCTCTGGGATGGTCCCTGGACACCCCCTACCCCAAAGCTGTTCCCCTGCACCATGTATACCTGAGTGCTATTGTATCTTGGCTTGGTGTGTATGCTTCTCCTTGTGCAAACTAGCTGTTCTTTGGACAATTCAAGCAACTGTTTCGTTTATTATAACTTTGAAAACAAAAATTGTAAGAAAAAATTCCAATGATCGTGTTGTGGTTGAATATTTTATTACTAAGATGTTTACACCCACCTTTTTCCCTGTAATTTTGAGGGACTATTTGACTCTCTCCTCCTTGATGGCTTGTAGTTTTTCCTATGTCATAATAAAGCTACATTTTATTCTGAAACTGGCCTATTCTGTTACTAACACTAGTATCCAAAGGGAGGGTGGCAGAAAGCACCCTGGCTCCAGCAGGTCAGTAGCTTAGCTGCTCCTGGGACATGCTGGATCCAGACCTCTGGGCACAGTAAGGCCCCTTGCCTTACTGTCATCTGTGCCTTCAGGAGTCATCTGTGGACCTTGAAGTACAAGGTCTTGAAATACAAGGACCTTGAAGTACAAGCTCTGTGCCAGAGCATAATTGGGCCACCTGGCTGTGGCTCAGGAGCATGGGTTGTTAGCAAGCTCCTAAGGAATGAAAGAGCAGTGGGTGTAAGTGACAAAAGACGGTGCTTGTAGAGCCTATGGCTCTGTGACAGGCAGAGGACTGTGGTTAACGCTGACCCTCCCCTTACCCTCGCTCTCCAGGACTTCTCACCTGGTTGGCTTAGACCAATGAGGTCTGCAATGTTCTCTTCTTCTTTTGGATGCCTCTGTTGAAAACAGTTCTACTTCCCTTCTGTGGAAATGCCTAGAGGCACAGAGAACTCACCCAGGTTCCAGACTTGGTCTTTATCCCTACTGTGTGCAGACTGTCCAGATTGTGGAGACTGTGCGGACATGTCTCAGTCTCCATGAGATGTCTTCTGCAGAATTTCCTCCCCCTGCAGGGGGGGAGGGGGAGGATTAAGACCAAGGCAAAAAATACAAATATTCCAGGGCAAGAAAAGGAAAACCAGGTTGATAGGTATAATATTAGCCAGTTTTATATATCCCACCTCAGTGCTCAAATCCCTACGTGCCGGCCGCAGGGAGGTAGCACCATGTAATGGTTTCTAGTAAAACTTGAAATGCCCTGGCAAGACAACCTCATGGCTTCACCATAACAGGTCCCCATAAGCCCACCTGCAGCTGGGTGATGTGACAGGGACAGCAGCCTATTGCTGCCTATCTTCTGTTGGCACCGGGGGTCCTGATCAAAGTGCAGGGCTGGCAGGATGCTGAGATAGGGTGGAGCTGCTGATGGCCAGGGCAGGTGAACCCATGTCCGGGACATGGCTTTATTTCAGCGAAGGCAAGCCTCAGCCTCTATAGTGGAAGAGGCCAGCATAGTCAGGTGACAGACTGGTCCTCTGTGAAATTGCAGCACCCACCTGGGGATTAGCGGGCATCTGGTGGTAGATAGGGTATTGGAGTAGTGCCAGCCTGGGGGGGCCTTGGTAAGGGTAAGTGTTTGATGTTGAGTCTGTCAGCCTGGTTAACTGCCACTTTGTTCACAGGCCCACTGAGCAAGTGTAGGGCTTGGGGAAAGAATGGGCATGTCCTTGTATCTGCCTGAACATGGAAAGTGTCTTCTGTAGGGATTCTCTCTCCCTACCTCGGGAACAAAGAGAACAGATAATAGTCATCTTCATGTTGACAGGTCTTTCCCCACCCAGCTCTTGTTACCAACTATTCTATCCTTTTCCTCCAAGTCCTTGACCATCAACCCAGCTGTTTGGCAGCTCCCCATGCATGGATGTGGCTCAGTGCCAGGATCCCTATCATTCCAGCTGAGGTGGACTACTCCAAAATCCACTCTGTGGGAGGACATCCGTTCATCACCAAGTGGGTGTAGGGACCTCTACTGCTCTGCTTTCCATGTCCTGGCTGAAATTCATGGATGTCTTAACTGCTCTGACCAGCCAGCTGCAGGTTTTTCCCAGTGGGCTTGAGCCTAAGCTGGGGTCTCCAAGTCCTCTGATACCAAATCCATAGTGACACTAGAGAAAATGCCCTGGCCCTGAGCCAGATTCCTTAAAACCTCATGTAACCCCATACCCTGTCCCTGACTGCTGACATACCTAAGAACTGCTTAGGGACATACACTTCCCCTTGACATGCACCACAGCCCATTTAAGAAGTCTCCTGATTGATGCTTTGGATGACCATCCTGATGTGTAGTGTGCAGTCTTTGAAATCCCAACCACCTGGGGACAGTTTCAGGAACTCCCTTGTGGGAAGCCCCTTGCCTTCTTTGAGGCAGTTCCAGTCACAAGTTCAGCCAGATGAAACACTAGGGGATGCAAGAGTGCCCCAGTCCACTTCAGCTGGCACAAGGCAGCCCATTGTGGAGACACATCTGGAAAGCAGACATTGATACATGTTCTGGGTGAGGACTTAGAAAACCTGGTGGCTGAGAACTATGGCTTGGATGCTGATAAGGAATCACATCCTAGACTGTTAATGTCACAACTTGTGACATACCGCAGGGTCTTGCTGACCCACAGCCCCTGGAGCCCACATAAAAATAACAGACCCAGTTTGACCATTCAAGGCTAAAACCTGTCCCTGCCCACATGTGGAAGGAGTTAATGACCCAAAACTTAGTTTTCCAGGACTGACCAGGTCCACAGACTCCAATAAAAGCTTGAGGTCTTGGGACCTCCAGTGCAGCACTCCTGAGCCTTGCCCCTCAGGGCATTGTCCTGTCCAATGGTGTACAGGACATTTCTGCTTTGCTTTTGCCCTGCTTTGCATCTATAAAGCTTTTGCAGGGCAGGAGGCCCCTGTTCAGGAGCAAGTGACTTTTCTTCTCTGACTCTGGTAAGTCTACCTGATTCCTTATCCATTTGTGGGAGTCACCCTTTCAGTTTTACTCTCATTCTGGACTGTTACCTAACAAAACTTGTACAGCAGTGGAGATTTCCTCTCTCCTGTGTCTACAGAGGCCAAATAATCACTCTCAATTTGCCTTTTGTATCCTGAACTGTAACCACAGGGTAATTGTAAAGATTTTGGGCTCTCTATGTATTTTCTCTCCCTTCTGCCTTCTTGCTTGTACTAAGTTTTGCTATTCACAGTGTTAGGAAATTTTGTTAGCTAGTCCTGGCTGGAATTTAACATTCTGTTAACTCTTAGACTCATAAGACCAAAGGAAAAAATGTGTAAAGTCATCTTTTAGAGGCAACCAGGCACCAGTGGCTCACACCTGTAATCCTAGCTACTCAGGAGGCAGAGATCAGGAGGAATGAGGTTCAAGGCCAGCCTAGGCAAATAGTTTGCAAGACCCTATCTCAAAAAAACCCATCACAAAAAAGGGCTTGTGGAGTGGCTCAAGGTATAGGCCCTGAGTTCAGGCCCCTGTATCACAAAAAAAAAAAAAAAAGGCTGGCAGAGTGACTCAAGTGCTAGAGTGCCTGCCTAGCAAGCATGAGACCCTAAGTTCAAACACCAGTACTGCACCCCCCCTCTAAAAAAATGCTATCTTGAAAAACTTCTTAAAACCCGATAAAGCTGGGACACAAAAATGCATCATTGGTCTCCTCTCTGAGAGAACCCAAGCTACTCTATGAAAGCATATCCTTCTCTTAATAAACTTTGCTGTTAACTTTTCCTACATTTCACATCTTGCTTGAAATCTTCTCTGGATTTCAACTGATAGACAATCAGGAGACCATGCACCTGTGGAGAGGGAGCCCCTGCTCGGGCAATTCTGCCTTCCAGGCATACTGAGCCCCTCTCTAGTGCTGCTGATGATGCCAGCACTAAGTGCCCATTTCATTATGAGATGCTCAGACCACACGGCCATCTGCCACCCATGACAAGGCATTCAGTCCCACTAATCCCAGGTAGCGAGCAGAAGCTGTTTCTAAAAAAGGAGAGTAAGTATCTGCAGAAGACGGCATTGCTTTGGAATCTGGAGGTCTGTTCTGTGATTGTCCTTGCTGGAGTCTCCAAAATGCATTCTTACTTGCTGCAAATCCTTTGAGAATCATGGGATCTTCTGAGTGATAAGCTTTAGGTGGGAGAACAGCAGAAATGACAGCCCAAACTTACTCAGGTTCCACTTGAAGCTGGCAGCCATGTAGATGTGTGCCTTTGTAGATGGGTTAGACACACTCAGTGCTGCCTCCAAACACAGCCAGGCCTTCATAGCAGGTGGGGCAAGGCCAAGCAACTTGTTTTCCGTTTTGAAACAAAGATCTTGATGGGCTCCACTGAGTCCTGGGAAACTTCATTGGTATATGGGTCCCTGAGTCTGGGGGAGTTGTTCTGTCACCTGTCACTTATATCTTATTAAAGTGCCTTTAGTATTTGCTACTTCCCATTCATCAATCCATCTGCACAATGTCATCAGTGTAAGAACCAGAGTATATTTTACGGACTGTCAAGTTGGTCAATATGTCTATAACACTCCTATGTTACAGTAGAAAGAAAGCACGAGAACTACCATAGCCCTAAGAATGCTAGCCAGTTGGGAAAGGCCAGTTGCTTTGGTGTGGAGAGAAAGGTGAGCACAGATGCATTCTTGGTGCCAGGGGCCATGTTGATTTAATTCAACAACAATTCCACATCTGTGACATTAACTGTATTTGGATAAGATTCACAGTGGTAAGGTCATCTTCCAAAGTCAGGCTTCCACACAGGTGCGTTACACAGGGACACCACAGCCCTCATCACTACAGTTGCTTTAAGTCTTTGATGGGGCCCTCTGGTCTTTGAAATCCCCCCAAGGAAGGCAGGATTGCTCCTGGCTTACCAGGAGGAAGTGTGGTAGCCCTCACCACCCAGTGGAGCCAAAGGTGGATGTGGGGATCCTGCCATTTGCCAAGATGCCAGTTACACATCCAGGAACTGAGGAAGGGGCCTCAATTTGAAAACTAAGAAATGTGTGTCTGGCTTCTGGGCAGGAGCTTGGAAGGCCAGGGCATGCTCCCTGGGCTGTCTTCCTCTCTACAACCACTGGCAGCATGGGTAGCCAGGCTCCACCAACCAGAACACCCAGGGCTACCATGGAGGAGACCCTCTCCCCAGGGACTTGATGGGCATTGTTATTGGTGAGTATGACATGCCACTTTCATTGTTTAAAAAAGAAAAAAAAACTTATCTTGGACTACATCCATAAAAGAGGGGCATCTAAACTAGGGAGGGGCTGGCTCTAGTCTTATCTTACCTCCACAGCACTTGACACTGCCTTACCCATAATACATTTTTTTTTAATACACAACTATCCTGCTTGATTCTGATAATCAAAAACGTCACACATGGCATACGCAGATGGCCTTCAACTTGCACTGAGGTTATGTCTTGATTAGCCCATTGTAAGTTGAAAAT